CCAACAGCAGCAGGAAAAGTAAGAGTAGATATAAAAAATAACCAACATAAATAGGGATTATGTTCCTGACTGTGATCTCATTAGCACCACACTTGGACCTGTAAAACATTAAAAGGGAGTAGCACCTATCCTTCAGGCGACCTTACTCATTCCCACCAGGCTTACCACACACCTCATTGCTTCCTAATACCCTTTTCTCTTTATTCAGTCTGCAAAGTTTCTCCTATCTTTACTTTATTGCCCTCCTACCCTCTAATTCATTTTCATACTGACATCAAAGTGATTTATCCCAACTATTAGTCTTACCATGTTGTTGCCCTGGCAACTATTTAGCATGGTTTGACATTGCTCTCAGTGTCAACCTCAAAACCTAGTGGAGAATAGTGATAATTAAACTGACTTGTGAGGAAAATGGAGAAAAGGTGAATTGTTTCTTTCTAGACCTTTCAGGCTAGATGCCAGTGTTTCCATTTGAGGACTGTGTACTTTGCCATGACAAGGGGAACCTATGGATAAAGCATCTGGTGCAAAGCTCAGAGCCTAGCAGTGGTATTCATCACACTGTAGTTGATGAGGCCCCGTGGCTGAACAATCTGTTAGTTTAATGTTCTTTAACTATGCTGAAGGTTTAAAAGAGCTCTCCTTTGTAGTTCGGAGAACTTGCTTAGTTGTTTCCTATTGGGCATATCCTTCCTACTCTTGGGGCTTCAGCGTTCTCATCTGTAATGAGGAGGTTAAACTGGACGAACCTGTCTTCCATTCAGTTCTACTAATGTATAATTTCCTTGTACCATCTGAGGAACTGAGATTTTTAATAAAGAAAATTTGCATAATAAATAAATATTCTCCTTAAAACGTTATATCTTCAATAAAATGAGAATAGAGGGATAGAAGAATCAATTAAGTTGTTGGCAAAAGGAAATCAAATTGACAGTGTTGTTCCTTAAGCATGCCAAACTAGTATGTCAGTGAATACGGAATTTTATTCCCCATCTTTATCAGTCTGATTTCTGTAGATGATAGAGTTTCCAAATTAAGATGAAGTAAAATCTTTATTGAGTAAGCATATATACTGAGATATTTTAATATACTTCAGCACTTTGTAAGGTTCATCTTTTGGGAATCTGTGTGCCACATGATTAGCATAAAGGTTGTTTCCTAGTTACCCATGTGCCACAAATGTTACAAAGAGAGGACTGTTGAACTTCACCACCTACAACCACCTACAAACGAATAACTTGACCATGAACTGTACTTATTAATGGTGATTCTTACACTTTATTAAGTAAAAATAATTATATGTTACAAGTATTTAGAGATTTTAAATCAGTTCATGATATTTAGCAGTCACATTATGATATTTCAATTACCTCTATCTTAGGTAAAAATTGAATTTCTATTAATTTTGAAACATTAGGTATCTTGAAAACACCCAGATATGTAAAGAGTTTCCTATTCATCTATAGACTACAATTGGGAAGTGAATTGCTATATTAGAGAGCAATCAACAAAATAATAATCATTAATAGCTATTTGGCAATTACTATGTACTAGGGCTGTACGTCTTTTAAGCTTAGCATACATGTAATCCATCTTTGAAGGTAAATTATGGAGAGTCACACAACTAGAAGGTGGTAGGATTTGAATCAGGAGAGATTTGGATGAGCAGGCATGACGAATGCTGTTCTCAGCCCAGCAGTGGGCAACAAATGTGATTTAATCAATGAATCTTGATGATATTGAGATTTCTTGAAGAAAAACAAACAAACAAACAAAAAACTCCCATGTTATTGATTCAAAAATCAATCTTCAATCATTGAAGTGTAAGAATACAGTAGACTTGGGGTTCAGTGAAATGTTAGGTATTCGAACATGGAGTGGGTCATCGGGTACTAAGTTTCACTGTACAATACCTGAATTTGTGCATATTCAGTTGAAGATTCCAAAGAGAAGTTGGTCAGAGCAGAACCTTACTGATCAGTGCCCTAAGGCCATCTACCTAACAGCATGTTTGATTGGGGAGGGGCATGACATGAACCCATTTTAAGACAGAGGAGCTAAAGGGAGGAGGGAGGGGAGAATGTTCCCCACTGAACAATTGCATAAATCCAGTAAAGTAAGAGAAGGGCAAATGAAGGGAAAGCCTTCATTTTTAGTTACTAACCCATGCTCTAGAATTTCAGGTTCTTTAAATTGTCAGTTTGTAGTGAGCCAATGCCAATGTATGTTGTAAATCCTGGGATACTGGGCTTTCAGGATTAGGACTCTAGCAAGTTTAAGACAATAAAATGCTGAAGGGAATGGAGGGACAAAACAGACAAGAAAAGAAAGAAAACAAAGGATTTCAAGGTAAATCTCCAAAGATGGTAAATACTAATCCCTCTTGAACTTCCAGTCAATCATAGTTTTATTCCCTAGAGCAGTGGAAAAGGACTTCAGTGGTTGGAGAAACACCCATGGAGAATAAGGGAAAAGTCACCATGTGGGCTAGCCTTTTGTCACCCTAGCTTTATCTAGACCAGCTCCCATCTTGCTTATTTTATGTATTCTAAGTTCACATGTATGATTTTTATTTAATGTGTTCTAAGCTTAAAGAGAAAAAAAAGAAACTGCAAAACCATTTCTCAAGGGAGAGAGACTAAAAAAAAAAAATCTCTACAAATTGTTCAAACAGATCACCCTTAAAATCCTGCTGTTGAAAAGTAAAAATATGCTAGCAAGGTTTTTAAGGCTGGGACATTGGGAGGGGGCAACCACCAGTCAGTATATCAGTTATTCTCTGCTGTGAAATTAATAGCTACAGCAGCAATAAGGGCTAATAACAGCAGTAACTGTACTAAGCTTCAACACTGATGTGGACTCAGGGCCAAATGCTTTCTTAAATTGTGTCATTTGCTACTATCTCATTTTTACAAATATTGTTGTTCTTCTGCATCTGAAGGTATGCAAGTGTTTTAAACATCTAAAGATAAACCAAATAAAGATTTAAAAAACATAGTAAGCAATCAGATTTGAAGAGCTCCTTGGGGCTTTTTGCTGCTGAAATACACATCAGGTTGAGACAATTTATTCCTCTGAACTCAATTTAATGCTGAGTTCAAAACGATAAATCACACACTGTCCCCAAACTCAGGAATGTCTGATCATTTATTCCAAGAAGGAAGTGTCTCATGAAGATTCAATTGGATGAAATATTTTCTTTATTGAAAGGAAAGATCTTGTTGCAACTGAATATTTGTTTAAAAATAGTTTTATTAATGTGTTGATTCATCAAATATTTATAGGGCATCAACTATAAGTTCTGAATGTGGAATCTGTAATATATAATATCAATGATGGATTTGTTTAATATAAGCATAAACCATTTCGAGAACTGCCAAGTGTTTGTTCAGGTAACACCTAGTGATTAAGTGTAATATTTAGTCTAATTTCGAAAACTAATTTTAAAGCTAAGCAGAATGTGGTTTGTAAATTGTATAGCCTGGGAAGGTTACTTAACCTTTCCGACTCTCAAGCTTCTGACTTATGACATGAGAATACTATAGATGAATATGGGAAGGATCACATAAAATCAAGTATATAAAGCTCTCAGCACTGTGTTTGACACACAGAGCACATTCAATACATGCTTACTGTTACTGTGGTAACTGGGAAATTACTAGCCCAGTGTTGCACAGCTTGTGATGGTGAGGTGATCTTAAATTTCTGCTACTAGTCAAATATTTCTTACCCTACACTATCCGTTTCCTTTTCTGGGAACAGGTAATATAAGCATCCTAGGCTTTTGAGAAGTGTTTTGGCTCATCCAGAGAGAAGAGTCATAAAGAAATGCCTGGTATAAGAAACCAATTCCTGATCCTGGAGTTATGGCTCATGGCTGTAATCTCAGTATTTGGAAAGCTGAAGTAAAAAGATCCAAGTAAGGCCATTCTAGTTTGAATGGGGTAAAAGAAACAGACAGACAGACAGACAGATAGATAGATAGATAGATAGATACAGACAGACAGACAGACAGACACGCACGCACGCACGCACACACACACACAGAGAGAGAGAGAGAGAGAGAGAGAGAGAGAGAGAGAGAGAGAGAGAGAGAGACCCTAAACCGAACCATCTAAACCTTAGTGAGTAGTAAGTGAATGAATCACTGAGCGGATTCTATCCTAGCTGTTTCACTTGCCACAAATGAACTAGATACCTCTAGATACCTCCTCGTCTGGAGATGATGGATGTGGGAAGACCTTCAGAAAACAAGTGTGATTCATAGAAATACACTGGAAATTCAGCCAGACAATACATTTTTAAAGTTAAAATAGAAGCATAAGTACTACAAAGACTCAAGGAATGATGTTTTTTCAAAAAAGAAAAAAGAAAGAAAGAAATTTCACATGAGTGAAAAACTCACAGAAACTGTTGAGAATTGAGCAAAAAGAAAAATAAAGATGGAAGCTCTATAAGAGAGCCCCGGTTTTATTCCTTTGTGTGGGTGCAGCACTGACATAACACTGAAAGTGACTGATTCATTAAATGAAGGCTTAGAGATACATAACATAGCTACTCTGTCCATATGCTAAACATAACAGTTGAGTTACAGTTGCCTAAGCAAAAGATGATCTATTCTTTTCTGAGAATTTACTTCAGTCAATCACAGTCCTGAAATGTTGGTTGTTTTAACATGTAAAGAATATTATGAATATAACAGGGCTTCCCTGAGAAGATCAAGGCCAGCATGCTAAATTCATGAGTGTGTAGCCCAAGAACTGGTGCCAGAAAATCCAATGGGAGGTTCTTGTTCAGCACAAAGGATTTGTTGTGATTATTTCAGATGTAATTAGTATATAAGGCAGTTGTTTTGGTACTGTGTACTTATAACTTTGCTAAGAGAGTACATCTAATATTAAGTGTTCTTACTCTCCTGGAAATAAATCTCATTTTCACACATGACAATATATGGATAACACCTTGATTGCTTATTCACTGGGTAATTTTCACTTTTCCAGGGCATCAGGTACTGTTTATACAGCACTAGACATTGCAACAGGACAAGAGGTATGGGCCATCGTTTGGTCTTTATTATTCCTTTGTGTTTATCAAGTTTTCTTGTTGATGGCATGTGTGTCTAGTGGGGAGCACTAGGTTACAGTGGGAGTTTAGATAAGCTGCTGTGCAAAACATCTGAAATAGATAGTAATGACTAACCAAAAAAAAGAGTGCATATTTCTGGAACAGAAAAAAACTGTAGATAATGAATTTGTACATTCATATTCATGCATATTTTAGTAATCATAATTTGTTCTTGTATTTGAATCATCATTCAGGTGGCCATAAAGCAAATGAACCTTCAACAGCAACCCAAAAAGGAATTAATTATTAATGAAATTCTTGTCATGAGGGAAAATAAGAACCCCAATATTGTTAATTATTTAGATAGGTAAGTATTTTCTCTTATTTATTATGTATTTTCTTTCTAAGATGTTATTTTCTTGTCAAATTATTTATTGAGAATTTATTACTTTCATAATCATTTACAAATATTTCTGAAATGATACAAAGTAATCGAGTAAATCTTTCCCCATCAAACACTTGAGAATTCATTTTGTAGGCTTGGTTTTAAATATACCTAGTTTGTGTGATTTCCTTTTAAGGATGGTTGCTCCATGTTGGCAGGAAATGGACTACTACATACAGGAGAAAGCAATGGTGTTTCAAACATTTCATCAAGTGTCTCTTTGGAGCCAGTATGGTTCCTGGGAGGCTGAGCGAAAAAAGTAGACAATAGCCGTGTTTTAATGGGTGCTTTATGATTAACTGACAGTGAGGTCAGGGGAATTGAGACTTTAATCTTAAACCTTTTTCCTAAAGCAGGTAATTAATGTCTCTTTCATCAGTGGTATTAAGAGTGTGTTACAAACGGGCACTTAAAGGCTGTGCTAAGTCTTCTCTTGTGGCTAACATCTGTCTCTTCCAATTCCAGTCGTTGTTTGCTTAGCACCACTCGGCTGAGCTCTCTGATGGGTTGTGAATGAAACAAGGCTAGAGCTCAACCTCCATGAGCTTAAGGGCTTGCCATCCATGTTAGGCCAATAGACATTGATATGGTAGGGAAATGAGAGCGAAAGGACCACTGAGTTCTCTAGTTCTAATAAGTGTTTCTCGAAGTGTCCTTTATGGCCCATCTGCAACAGTATGATGTGAATTCGATTTGTGCACTTGTAGTTTTCTAAAACTTGCATTTATACTTTTGAAAGGGGCTGATTTCTAGGCTTTTATCCATAACTAATGAAAACGGAACCTGTGAAGTTTGAATTTTAAGAGACTTGCCAAGTGGATCCCAAAAGTACCGTAGTTTGAGTAGCACAGAATAGAAAGTCTTGCTTCATAGTGAGGTAGTTTTTTGATTGTTTGCTTGTTTGCTTGCTTGCTTTTTTAAAATATCTCTGCAGCTCAGGATGGCCTGGAACTTACACATACCCAAGGCTAACCTTGAACTCCTAGTCAACATACTTTATCCTCCCAAGTTGGTGGGATTACAGATGTGTGCCACCATACCAGGCTTAGTGGCGTGAGTATTAAGGCAGGATGGAGTCACTAGGGTCACTCTTCTCTATAAGAAGATAGTGCTAATTGATTTGAATAATCTCCTACTCTTTTCCTGAATTGGTAGGCTATCCAGGGACCTTAGTTCCTATATTTGAGTACTGAAGATTGTTCCTCAATAATCACTTAAAGATAATGGGCATGACACTATCGACTTTCATCACAAATAAGGCCTGAGGATATTAGAGTCTTCATCTCCTTAGTCCAAAGTCAAAGTATTTTTCTTTTCTTATTATAGCTACTTAGTGGGTGATGAGCTGTGGGTAGTCATGGAATACTTGGCTGGTGGCTCTTTAACTGATGTGGTCACAGAGACCTGTATGGATGAAGGACAGATAGCAGCTGTCTGTAGAGAGGTAAGAATAGAGAATATTTCTTGCTTGTGAGAAACATAAAATTTGTTAATGCGTTCTTTTTGATTATTCAGAATATTTCTAGCATCAAAATAACATTAGCATATTTTCTCTACTGAAAAAAATGGAAAAGTGTTTAAACTATACTTAATGTCATGTCCTCGAATCACCTTGGCCAGACCCTTATTTACTTTACTTGCTTTTCTGTGGCTCTTGTAAGTAGTAATATGATATTCAAGAGACACTGTATCTAAGCTCACACATAGTAGTATCAGTGAACATGGCCAACTGTTATGTTAACATGGAATTCCTTTCTGATTTGTGGGAATTTTTATAACATAAATGTGTTCTGCTTGATCAATATGAGTTCCATAAAATACAGACTACATTATATTCCCATTATTTTCTAGAAAGCAATTTTTTGTTTTTGACACACTTATTTGTTTATGTGGGTTCTCTCTCTCTCTCTCTCTCTCTCTCTCTCTCTCTGTGTGTGTGTGTGTGTGTGTGTGTGTGTGTGTGTGTGTGTGTGTGTGTGTGTGTACTATGAGTGCATATGGATATCAGAGAACAACTTTTGGGACTCAGTTTTCAATTTCCATCATGTGCATCCAGGAAATTGAACTCAGATTGTAAAGCTTGGCATCAAGTGTTGTGACCTGTTGACCCATCTCACAGGCTTTCAAAGGAATTTCAACACAATCTTCCCTCACCCCACAAAGTAATTGCTTTACAGTATTCCATGAATATTCCAGTGAGCCTGAGGACCTGTCATTTATAAAGAGAAATAAGTGTTATCTTTAGTTTCTAGTCAATTTGATGATGTTTTATTCTGTTATTTTGATCAATATTGTTTTTGCAACATACACCCTTCAGTGAGGTCTCATTATGAAATTTTCTACAAAGTGAAGTGGAAACTTGAAAAAAACGATGAATGTGCAACCAAGCTAAATTATATTAGCTAATCTTTCAGTTAGTAGGATATTTTACCTGAGCCTTTATTTTGTATCTTTTAGTATTACAAGTCAAAAGCATTTCCAAACAAGTACCTTTAGTTACTTTAGAACTGGTAGCCATCCTCAAACCTGTCCATCAGAAATAGCCCAAAGAAATTATTTCAGTTGCACATTCTTGTTTACCATGCTAGATCTACTGAAACTTCACCATGTACACTGAGGCTTACAACATCTGTATAAGACCAAGCTGAACCCATATCACTTAGAAACCTAGACCAAAGCATGGTTATGCTAAGTGGTCAGCTGGACTATAATAATGACTAGTACTGATTGTTGCATTAGCCTCTTCATGATTTAGTCTATAATGTAACATAAAGTTAAGTATAATCACTGATGTAAATGGTAATGTGGTTTGAAAATGGTGTTAAAGCATTCTGTAATCTATTTCATTTAACAACATCAAATCACAACCTTTCCCAAATTTTGCCTGGAAATGAGATATAGAATTAAAAAAAAATTATTTGTGATATAATTAGAACTTTTTTTTTCTGATTCAATAGTGCCTCCAAGCTTTGGATTTCTTGCACTCAAACCAAGTGATTCATAGAGACATAAAGAGTGACAATATTCTCCTCGGGATGGATGGTTCTGTTAAATTGAGTATGTATTTTGATTCCGATATTTAAGAAAATATCAGGGAATTTCTATGGTCCTACTGTCTGTCTTGAGAAGATAATGTCTACTGAAAGTGATTTATTTGAGAGAGCTTAATTTGAATTAAAGAACCTGTCTGATAGTCTGTTCCTATAGACTGTGACCAGATGTTTTTTTTGAATTATTATTTCATAATGTCTAGCAGGACCTCGAATAGATGGATGGCAAATAACTAACTGGAAAATGGAAGAGTTCTATAAATATATGAGAAAGTATTGGGAGGGAGTGATATGGAAGTCTACTAACGATGGCATCATATTTGTCAATTGTTTCTGACCCCTTTAAAATCAGTAGTAGCTGAAGGATCAGATAATGATCAGGATGTGAGCAAGACAATTGTGAGCGCTCCTTTTAACCTTAAAGGCAGGTTCAGGCACATGGAAAAATCAGCTATTGCAAAAAAGACATTATTTGGGCTCATTTTAATAGACTTTTCTTCTCTACAGCTGATTTTGGGTTCTGTGCTCAAATCACTCCTGAGCAAAGTAAACGAAGCACTATGGTGGGGACTCCCTATTGGATGGCACCTGAGGTGGTAACTCGAAAAGCTTATGGTCCAAAAGTTGATATCTGGTCTCTGGGAATCATGGCCATTGAAATGGTGGAAGGTGAACCCCCTTACCTTAATGAAAATCCACTCAGGGTAAGTCAGCAAAATTCAGGTACTTCCTATCCCCCCCCCTTAAAAGGGGGGAAAGAAAAAATACCATTTAATGATTCCCCCAAACTGGTCAGAACTAGAACTTTCTTGGAACAAGTAACACAGAGACACCGAGTTATGGTGTATAAATTGCTGAGTGTGAAATGCCTGATTCTCAGTCCCTCTAACAAGAGCCTTCAATATTCTTTAGTCTACAGCTTTCTACTCTATAACTGTAGAAATGCATGAAAGAAAGAATGTGGGAAGGGAGAATGTTTTTATCATGTGCTATGGTAACATGATCTACCTAGGAAATCCTTGTTTCATAATTACTTTAACAAAGTAAAACAATACATTTCGAGAACACTTATCATTTTTTAAGTTGGGTTTTTTTCTTTGTTATCAGTAACAATTCATTGAGCAAGAACATTTTAGTTGACATTGAATGAGACAGAAATAGACATGGCGCCAGCCTGATGAAATCATAAACTTAATTAGAAGACTGTCAAATAAAAGATGAATGGAAATTATTTGGGTTAGTAGAATTTTCTACTACATAATTGGAGGTTTGATCCTCAAGTGGTCCAGTTACCTCTGAAAAGGGAAATAAAAATAAAAATAAAAGCTTCCATCTCGTATCCTAACCCCACTGGCTTTTTTCAGAGATGCATAGTTGATCATGAGAATAAAAGCCAAAGAAATACAGAAGAAGCACTTGCTTAGTGTAGAAGTGAGTCAGAAGCTATTGGATTATATATAACTTCACAGTAAACCAGAAGCCATATTTCATCTGCACAAAGGACGTGAGATTTTTTTTTTTTTTTTTTTTTTTTTTGCTGAATGGAAATAGGCCCAAATTTCAAATCTGCTCTTAAAACTCATGCACAACACCAGTTTCAAAGGCATTGTCTGTGTCATTATCATGAAGAGTCTAATATCGTGTTTTATTCTTGGTATACAAAACCCATTGTCCTTAGTCATCAATTAAGTGTGTTCTCATTATGTTTGCAAAATCTATATTCAAGTCGTACTGTATATGGCTTTCTATATATGCAAAGAAATCTCTGAGGTAAATATCTAATTGTTTTGTAGTTGAAATTTTGTAATTGGGAGCCATGCTCCCAATATAGAGGGAGAGGCCTTCTCTAATATTCTCTCCTTTTGTTTCCACTCTGGTATTTGGCCACTGGTCCTAGTCCCTGCACTGATTAGAAAGCAAGAGATATGAGGGAATGCCCTAATGAATGCTATGGGCTGTTATGCTAGTCTCACATAACAATCTGGAAAGGAGATATGTGCATTGATTAGCTTCCTGGGGGGCTGAGTGGAAAAGAAGGGGCGTTTCCCAACATTTGTGGGTCAGCCCTTCATGTGTTTAATCGAGTCCACCTCTGACCTGTGGGACAGCACAACAGGATAATTACAAAGGCTTTTCCTTTTTTTGCCCATTAAGAAATAGCAATGTGCCGGGCGGTGGTGGCTCACGCCTTTAATCCCAGCACTCGGGAGGCAGAGGCAGGTGGATCTCTGTGAGTTCGAGGCCAGCCTGGACTACCAAGTGCGTTCCAGGAAAGGCGCAAAGCTACACAGAGAAACCATGTCTTGAAAAACCAAAAAAAAAAAAAAAAAAAAAAAAGAAAAAGAAACAGCAATGAAAGAACACATCAGGTCTATTGTTTCTATGGATTTCCTCTTCTAAGTATTCGAAGTTTAGAGGCACTAAATGGATTACACCTATTTTGCTTTCTGCTTTCTGCTGAATAATTTACAACCTGCAGAATTTAAGGATTAAATAAATGGCTATGCAAGGCAATTGGTCTCAGTAATGCATTTATTGCTCTCTTCTGTTCCCTTGTCATAACTGATCTCTCCTTAGCTAGACTGCTAATTACTAGAAAAAAATGAAACAAGTTTTAATCTCCATATGCATCTTCTAGCCTGGGATCAGAACTCATACTTAATAGCTTGTCTCTTAAAATCTATAGCCTTCTATCAAAACAAGTATTTGCAGATTAATAAACCACAAATTTCAAGAAGCCTACATTAAGACTATGACAAAAAGACCTGTTAGAAAGACTACCTTGTTGAATTCCACTGATAAGGATTGATTCTAACTTGGTGCCTTATTCTCTTTATGTGATTGGCCTCTGGCTAATTAATCAACAAGCCATGTTGAGCCAGCCTGATTCTGAAGCTCTTCTAGACACCAGAAATACTTTTAAGCTTTGCTTGTAAATGTTCTATCCCGGTGTTTTCCTAGAGAAAACATGATGTCTTGGCCTAGCTAGCCTTATTTGGGATTTGAAAAGTGTATTCACTGAACCCATGGGGAGATTGCAGACAGAAAGATACAGTATGACAATGTAGGGAGCCCATTTTTTTCGTGTTTTGGTGACTAGACACAGTGTTTGGAACTAGAAAATCACAGAACTTTAGGAGAGGTATGAAAGAGCACTCAACTATTTCTGAGAAACTATCCTGATCTACCACCAGTTCACCATTTGTAGGCTTTGAAACAGGTGGAAGTAAAAGTGAGTGAAAAGAAGATAAAACGGCACTATAAAGAGTGACATGCACTTGTGGGGGACAAAAAAAAAACAGTTAAGTAGTCAAGTGGACCTAAGTGTGTCCTGATTATGTAACTTTAAAGCTCTGGGACATTTTGAAAAGCCATTTAAAACCTTTCTAAACCTGTTTCCTTTCTGTTAATAGGGATAATATCCATCTTACTGAATCTACATGAAAATTAGGTGAATAATGCATGTAAATCACCTAGGCCCGTGTTTAGCTTATTGTAGAAAATGTATGTGGAAATTCATGAACATGAGCAGAAAAGAAAGGAAAGGGAGAGAAGATAAAGTTCTTTTTACTCACCATATAATGGATTCACCATTCCCCAAAGAACTTTTATCCTACCGCCTGACTCCCATGGAGTGGGGGATTCTGTACAGTTCAATATAATTACCATAAATAGGTAGCATTAAACAGAACAGGTTGAAAGTGAAGTCTCGGGCTGTGCATTACAAAGTTGCTTGCATTTCACTGTGGCTTGTGTTTTTGTTATGCTTGATTTAAGTGAGCAAATAGTCTGTAAATATTGATTGCTGATGTACATTTGGTACAAAAAAATTGACCACTTCTTTTGCCCAGTAATAAAAAGATTGGAATTTTTTTAAATGTAAATAAATCGACTTAATTTGCTCATAAAATGTTTTTAAAGCTCAGAGAGTTATTAGCTGTACTGATGTTATGATGTTGGTAACCCTTCTAGAGACAGGGAGGAGACAGCTTTCTTATTGTTCCAGCACAGTGCCTTAAGTTGACACTTGATGTAATTGGCCTTGGACATGTTGTCCTGTGACCCATGGGAAATTTCTAAGCAGCCACCAATAATTAAGTGCCTTATTCTTTTTGTTTGCTGAAGTAACTGGGGCTTAAGACAAACCCAACTTTCTCTGTGAATATGCAAATCAAACATTGATCTTTTGTTGGTACCACCGTCTTTTTTGCTAACAGATGATCTATTTTGTTAAGACTTGTGACCATAAAGACCTGAATCTAAGGAGCTAGTTATTTCTGCCAAACCAAACTTTGATTTTTTTTCCTTATCAGCACAAAGAGAGTACCTTTCTTTTAAAAATTACGTTTATACTCACAAATAGTAGGTCTGTTCTTATCAAGCTGTGATGAATTGTGGTACTTGTGAAATGTCTCAGTGCTGTCTACTTGAAATCCACACAGAACCTTTTATAATCCTGTTTGTGTCATTCTCTAACCCCTTTTAAGTGTTTGCTTTATGCCTTTGTTTTAAGCATCAGTGGGCTGTATTAAACATTGGGCCACTGGAATACACTTACTGCTACCAGTGCTGAAAGCAGTCTGGGATATAGCATGTGAACCACACATCCTACTTGTTCTCCTCCTTGCTGTTACATTGGAGTCCTCTGTAGAGTTTAAGAGCCAATGACACTGAATTCCATCCCCTAGGAAAAGGAGGAAACTAGGACTAGGCCAAAAGCAAAGCTATATTGCAAGACCTTAATATGGCACTGTTTGCAATGAGAAGTAATTCTTCATCCCTGTTTGAGCACAGTTGTTTAACCAGGAAAGCACATACTTATTCCACTCGTGCTTGTCCATTTCCTGTAAGAAATCATAAGAGCATCAGAGCCTAGTTGAAATCTTGTTCTCTTTTCCTCCTTGTCAGACTTAGCAGTCCTGTAACACTACATATCTTAGTTTCTTTTCTGTTGCTGTGATAAAAATATCCTGACAAAAGGAATTTAAGGGACAAAATGTTTAAGTTCATAATCTCAGGTTACAGTCTATCATTATGGAGAAGTCAGCAGGCGGTAGAATAGCTCTACAGTCAAGAGAAAAGAACAGTGAATTAACTGTATGCTAGTGCTCAGCTAGGTCTCTTCATTCTTCTACAATACAGTGTGCAGGTCTTTATATGTCAGTTAATGGAATAAAGAAAATCCCCACAGACATGCACATAGGTCAACCAAATCTAGACCATCCCTCTTTGAGACTCTCTACCAGATGATTCTGGATTATACCCAATTAACAATTAAAACTATCACATTATCCAAAAGGAACAATATTAATTAAGTATACATCTCCATGATTTGACTTTCTTAAATCAATTTTTCTCTTCTGAAAATGGAGTTCATATTTAAAATAAGCCAGCAGCTTAATGCCTAGCATGTACCTGGAGCATAATGTAGCCGTGGGTGTGACTATATGTGATTGAGTGCATTACCTCTATGACTATGGAGAAAGAATGGTAACAATCCAAATAAAGGCCTGCTGGCACATTAAGTGACTTCCTCTTTACTACACAGATGTCAGATTTCTTACTGTTTCTCTTCTGATCAGAGCATGTATGTCTCAAGACCATTATACAGGATGAGAGAAGCCCTAGCTTGTGAGTAACAGCAACTAAGGGCCAAACTGAATCTTGTTCCTCCAACCACTGGAACCTGTGCTGTGGATTGGAA